AGAGAGAGAGAGAGAGAGAGAGGGCGTTTCTCTCCGGCGTTGGCGGCGGAGGATGCCTCTGGCGGAAGTTGGATACCCAACGAAATCCCAAGTTGCACACACAGCCTTTCGTCCGGAGCGATCCGCTTTTGTTAGAAAATAGCACGAAATGGCCGGACCTCCTCCCCTCCCCCCTCCCCTTCTGTGTCGTCCCCGGCGTGTCGACGGGAGAGGGTCGATCGGCGGCGACGGAACGAAATGAGGAGCTGTCGCTGCCAGCTGCTAACTCTCGAGAAATTCCCTGGCAGTCGCCGGTCGCGGCGCGCAAAAGGGGTGTCCGATGAAATCGATAGTAACGAAGAGTAGAGAAAAGAGTCTGGAGAAGGTCCGAGTCTCCTGCTCGCGGGGACCCCCGTGTGGGGAAAAAAATGGCTGTTCGCGGCCACCGCTGATCGCTTTGAAGTTCGCCCTCTTTGCGTTCGCTCTCCTCCTCTGTTCTTTGATGAAAGTTGGAGACCTCCGCGTAGGGTATCGGTAATTTCAAACGTATCTATCTGCCGTATCGTCTTGTTAAAATACACGTGTGCGTTGAAGCACACGTGTATGTAATGTTATTGCAGGTCTTTTAATGCATCTAATCTTTGATCTCGGGAATTTCGGTTGGACGATTTTTAGTGTGACAGAGACTTCGTTGACGAAGCTTGTGGAAATCTTGAAATTTCATGTTCGAATGTCATTTCTAGTAAATTTATTCATTTTTGAAATTTATTAATTCGTCAATTATTTACTTCATTCTGCAATATTAATACTTGTATATTATTAATTAATCTAAACAGGCACAGCTTTTGAAAGCTGGCACACTTCACCATGTCTCGGATGTTTCACATATTCTCGTTAATTACTTAGACATCCGACTTTTAGCCAAATTCGTATTTTCGATAATTAAGGAAATAGAAAAAGCACTGAAAATTTGAACATTTCCATCCATAATCTATCCACAGTCTACCAATTCATGTTCACGTTACACCTTCGAATATCCCACGTAAGCGCAAAAATCCACGTTGCAATCGTTTAGAAACCCCAGAAGTTCTCCGCGATCTGTAAAATGGTGTCACAACCAAGCAGCGAGGCTGTCCAACCTTTGACATAAGGAAGCGGCGGAGAGAAATTTCTTCGTGTTGGCAGTTTCCATCCTGCGTACGGAGGAGGATGGTCTGTCGTTTAACGATAGATCTCGTTAGCCCCGTCCCCTGTTCCGGCGTCGCGCCCCCATTGTGTCCCCAGGATCGTGCAGTCGTACCCTATTCAGCAAACCGGCGGGAATTTCGGGTTGCCGAGTTAGAA